CCAGAAGGAAACCTACCAAGTGCTCTCATTATCCACAAATGCTTTCATCCTTTTTCTCTGCTGCATTATTCCACATCAATAAATAAATGAGGAGCAGAGCAATACGAAGCACTGAGTAACAAGCCCAGATCAGTTCAAGTGTCTGCAAGCACAAGGTCACTTATGTTACCTGAATTGTCATTGAACAGGGACATACTTCTACAACAAAGGCAAGTTAGAAAGTGGAATGAATACTTTCAGCTAACTAACCATACACTAAAGGAAAATTGTAAGGTCATCCTGAAACAAATTAGGACAACTCTCTACTCCCACGCTGTTTCTGCTATGAATGTCCAAAGTAATCCCTCCATCTTACTTCACTACAGTTCTGGGTATGACTAAAGAATTGTGCAGAAATATTTGGGGCAAGAGATAACACTGGGATATAGGTTATAAACATTGGCATTTTATTAGTGGGCAAGTGGAAAACAGGGAGCAACCATGTAAAATTAACACAGCTGCACAGAGGCCCAGAGAACCTACAAACTAAGAGCAGACTGGTTTTCCTAGTTCAGATTAAAAGCATAGGGAAATCTGTCCACAACATCCCAAGCATCTAAAGGGTCATCTAAAAAAAAAAAAAAAAAAAAAAAAAAAAAAAAAAAAAAAAAAAAAAAAAAAAAAAAAAAAAAAAAAAAAAAAAAAAAAAAAAAAGCAAAGGGTCATCTAAAATTGGTTTTTATTGACGTTTTTATTAACTTCTTGAAAGGAATTTCTTTCTCTCTTTTCCAAGCATGCCATATTAAACATTCCTGGAAGCACAAAGTAGATGTTTAAATACATGCATACACATATTCTATTATTAAAGTCCTGTGCAAGGACCTAATAATAGAAAAGTCCATAATTATGTATAAGGCAATGATAAGATACCAGGATGTAAAGCATGTTTTAAGATATTTGCATTACTGCCACAGAATTGCAATACACTAACTCAACACAGAAAAATCAGACAGGCTTATCACCTTCATCTCCAGAGAATTCAGGTGTTTGCTCTCAGTTATTCTAAATCTAAAAAATAACAAGATAAACAAAAACACAACAGCAGAAACTCCTCTCCTGAATGCATCTTGTCATTGCACTGAGTATCTTAAAGAATGAGGAGCAGATGCCAGAACAAGCAAATGCCACATATCAGTATTAGCTGCAGTATCATCCTCTCAAAAAACAGAAATTATAAAATATGTATTTCATTACTTAGGAATTGTTTATTGCTTCATATTACAAAACTAACACTATACATATCTGTAGTTTACTAAGCAGAGTATCCACATGGCAGTTTTCAGTATATCACCATTATAAACTGTCACCATTAGAAAAACAAATAGAGAATGTTTCTTATGCTGTTGGCTTTTTGTCTGTTATCTGCTAACAAACACCACAATTTACTTGTAAACAAAGGATTCCTCAGATGAAACACAGAAGGCATGTCACTGAAGAAACCCTACATTTTAACCTCTATGCTCAAGGAAACCCATCCTTTTCCCAATTAAAAGCACCACAAAGCTTTGGCTCCAAGCTGCACTACCTGGGACCTCCAGGGACTATTCCTGCTCAAGAACAGACTAACACAGACGACATTTTTCTTGTGTAGTTGCTCAACAGCACAGTCATTTTTCATCCAGAGCAAAGCACAGATTTAACATCCACAGCAGCATTTCTGAAAGGCAACTCATCTCCCCAACACTGTTGCAAATTCCACCATAAATCACATTTAATTAGTTTGTGCCTTTTAATTTTTTTTTTTTCCTGGCTGTCTGGAGTCCAACAGTGAGCAGGCTTCCAACTTTAATTTTGCAAAGAGGTGCTTAGAATAAACTGATAAAAATGCCAACCACCTCGTCCCCACTGGAAGCTGGAGTTATCTGCTCGCTGACACACCAGCATTCCTGCCTGTAGATGGCTTTTTACTGCTGTGTATCCAGCGGCTCCTATTTCCACTGCCTTGTTTGAAGAACTTCCCTCTTCCCACATACCTTCCATCTCCAGGGACAGATCACACAGGGACACTAAACCTTGGCCGTAAACAACACGAGTTTTGATACTGCTGTTTCCAAAGGGTCCTCCACCATTCAGCGGTGCAGAGACAGTCACTGAGGCACAAATCCTCCGGGCAACGCTTGAGAAACTTTGCCTCTCCACTGTTTTGCACAGCTGAGATTTACACAGGGCTCTGCTGGCTTCTTCTGCAATTTATTTTATTTGCTGTACACCAAAGGCTACTGCAAACAAACGGAATTTCGATAACTTGTGGCATGTTGCTCAGAACAATTCCAGCGACACTATTTCCAAACTTTAAACCCAGCAGCCACATCCTTGGTGGAGTGACAGGATGCTCTCCCAGTGTGTCCCAAACTGTCACCCCAAGTGCTCCAAAGAGGTCATTCCATCCTCCCCCATGTCTTTCCTTTGGAGGGAAGTGCCAGACTACAGTGAAGAAAAAAGCACTGTGGAGAGTAATTTGTTTGATTCAGGTGTGTTCAGGCTCTGGGCCTCGTATTTAATTACATGTACTTAGCAGGCATTTATCCTCATGCTACAAACATTTATTCATACTGTAAATGTTCGTTCTGACAACCTACTTTTTTGAGGGAAAAAGTCAATTATACTTATTAGAAAGTTCATGAATACTACCACACAAATGCAGCATTTTGCTGCATGGTCTGTATATATTTTCTTGCACAGATTTATGAACAGCAGAAGTTTGACTGCACTTAACTGCTTCTCTTTCTCAGAAAACATAAAGTGAGGAGAAAAAAACCCAAATTTTCTGCAAAGAAAGAGGCATGATGGAGAAAACTTGTTTCAGTTCCCTAAATACTACACGTAGAAAAAGAAGTGCCAGAATAAATACATTTCAGATTGGAAGTTACAAACTTTTCTGAGACTAAAGATAAAATACTTGCAGTATGGAATTACAGCTCTGAGCTTCTTGGCTATAGCAGAATATCAGCTTATTTTGGCTGCTAACTACCTTCATTTCTTATCCTTTTGGCCAGCTATAAGCTAGCAGTATGAAAAAACCCTCTCATTGCTGTCCCAGCAGTGACTTCAAACCCAAACCAGATGAGTCCCAAAAGCACAAAATTTAAAAAAAAAAAGAGAAAAAAAATAAAGTAAAATATATCACCTTCCACACAGACTGATCTCTGAGCTGCACTATAAGCATAAAGTAGCTGAAAGATACTGAACTGGGAAGAACAATACACGATACTTCTGGGGCAGCAGAAGTTTCTGCCACAGCAGGGTCCCAACACAACCACAAATCACAACTGCTTTGAAATTAACGAGAGGGAAGCACAGAAGTGCTGAAGATTAAGAGAAAAGCACTAACAGACCGCTTCTGTGCGAGACCCGAAATGACCCCGGGAATTCGGCCAAGAATCATTTTCTTACTGGTAGCACCGGCAGCGTATTCTCCAACTTGCTGAGAGAGACACACGGGCCGTAGGTGAACGGGGCAAGAGGAGCAAGATGCTTCCACTCAGGAGGCAGCCCTTGGCCATTCCTGAGGTTTAGGGAAGCCATGCCTTTATCTGGATTTCCAGCCAAGCACACATTGTGTCATCCGTGTCCAGACCAGCCGCTCCCCATCAGAACAAAGCGCAGACCCAGACCAGTGCAGGCACTGCCAGGCCTGGCACTCCCAAAACTCTTTTAAAGCAAGCTCTGCTGCAAAATAAAAGGTTGAGAAATAGTGTTCTACACTGAAAAAATCTGTGGAAGTTTGAAATGCCATTACCTAGCACATTGTTAAACTCGAGTCAGACTGGTTTGGCACCTTTCAGGAACGTACCGGCTGAGCCCTGTGTTCTGCAGGGTAAGCGGTTAAGGGATACAGCAGCTGTGGTTAGGGCACAGGTAACTGGGGTATGTGAATCCTGTTCTCACACAGCCAGCACGGAGTTCCAACAGCAAACAAACAAAAAAAAAAAAATTTAAAAAAATAAAATCGCCAACAAGGAACACAAATCTCTCCATATCTCATTTCTCCCCCCGCCACCCACCCCGTAGTGATGGGGTAACTACTCCTTTAAGGCCAGTACTTTTATATACTCAAAGGACACAAAGAAATGCAAATGAAATACGAAATTACTAATATGGAGAGAGGCAGGCTTGCCCCGCGCCTTCTATTCTACAAATATAGACGGGATAAATGGTTCGTTACATTTAACTCCAAGCCGCACTACCTCCGCCAAAACCTTATTTAAATAGAACATTTCTGAGAAGGGGGGATGCAGCTGTGGTCTTAACCTAAGAGAGGTTAAGCTTTTAAAAAGGGTTGTTCTTTTTTACTCCGTCTGCTGGTCGCATGCCATTTTAAAAAGGTGTCTGGCAAGCAAAAATAAAAAGTTTCCAGGGCTTTCCTTCCCCAAGCCGCCTCTGCCAGGAGCCCGGCGGGGAGGACGGGGCCAAGAGAAGACGGTCGCGCCTTTCTCCAGCTTTTTCTCCAACATGCCCTCTGGATCCCGACGCTCTGGAGGCGGAGGAGCCCCGGTTCCTCCACCTGCCCGCACCCTCCGGCCGGGCAGGGGCTGCGGAGCGGAGCGGGGCGCGGCTCGGGGGTGCCGCGGGCAGGCGCCCCGCACACGCCCGCGGGGCCGGCGGCACCGGCCGCTCCCGCATTTCTCCTCCGGCAGCCGCAGCGGGCGGGGAGGGCGGCGGCGATGACAGCGGCCGGGCCGGCCGCCCCCGGGGACAGCCGGGCGGTGCTGGAGCGCCCGTCCCGCCGCCAGCCCCGAGCGCGGCCGCTCCCGCCCGCCCGCCGGGCGCTCCCCGCGGCGGAGGGAGCCGGCGGAGAAACTTTCCACCGAGTGCGGCCGCGTCCCGCCGCCGAACAAAAGAGCCGGGACCCGGAGAGGCGCCGCGGGGCGGGGGAAGCGGCTGCCCGGCGCTCGGAGCGCAGCGGAGCCGCGGCGCTCCCCGCCCGCACCCGGCTGCCCGCAGCGCCGCCGCGTCCTTACCTGCGGGAGGGCGGTGCGGGGCGGCGAGTCCCGGTTAGCTGGAGCGAGTGCCGGGAGGGCTCGGCGGGGATTCCGCCATGTCAGTGATGTCGGCACCACATGGGGCCCCGGCCGGCCCACGCTACCGAGCACTCTGGAGTAGCGGCTCCCGCCGAAAAGGCGGCCGAGGCGGGCGTGGGACGCCGGCCAGCCCCGCTGCCGCCCCGCCCCGCCCCGCGCCGCCGGGGCGGGCGCTCCGTGAGGGGCGGGCACGGGGCGGGCACGGCGACCGTGCCCGTTCCCGTTCCCGTTCGGCCTCGGCTCGCTCCGCTTCCCGTGCCCGTCCCCTTTCCCGTGCCCGTTCCCGTTCGGCCGCGACCCGCTCCGCTTCCCGTTCCCTTTCCCGTGCCCGTTCGGCCGCGACCCGCTCCGCTTCCCGTTCCCGTCCCCGTTCCCGCTCCGCCGCGCCCCGCTCCGGTTCCCGTTCCCCTCCCCGTCCCCGTTCGGCCGCGACCCGCTCCGCTTCCCGTTCCTCCTCGACCCGCTCGTCGTCACTTAGAATCGTGGAATAATAGAATTAGCGAATCGTCAAGGTTGAAGACCATCCAGCCCGGCAGCACCGCTATAACCCCTAAACCGCACCGCCCAGCGCCAGCTCCAGGCGCCTCTTTAACACCTCCAGGGGCAGTGACCCCACCGCCGTCCGTTTCAATGCCAGACCACCCTAAAAGTAAAACATTTGTTTCTAATGTCTAATCTGAATCTCCCCTATCTCAGCTGAAGGCTGTTTTCTTCTCACTGCAGGTGCGGGAGAAAAGAGCATCCCCCAATTGGCTACAATCTCCTTGCAGGGATTTTTAGGGAGTGATGAGGTCTCACCTGATCCTCCTCTTCTCCAGCTCAAACAAGCCCTCCCACAGCTATTCTTCATAAGATATGTTCTGTAGACCCTTCACTTAGTACCAAATATCACCCCTGGAGCACACATCACCCACCAAGCCTCCCCTGTCCACCCAGCCCTAGCAGGGGTGTGTGGTTGTGATGGATGTTGGAAGGTTGTCTCCAAAATGCCATTTCTGACACGGTAGCTCTTTGCCCAAGCAGTCCAGCCTGAGGTCAGTGCATGTCCTCTCCTGTGTCCTTCCTTTGATGCTGCAAAGCCAAGGCCTGTGCTCCCATCAGTGTGGTCATTCCTACATTCCCATCGTCTGGGACCAAGGAGGAGAAGCTCTAGGCAATATTTTCAGGGATAAAGAAATGCTCTGACTTATTAAATTGTGCAGCCCTAAAGAAAATAAGTTTATCCCTGGCTCTGGAGGAGAGCCCCAAAGAGGGGCCATGGTGGTCATTCGCCTCTCAGCACTGCATCCAAGCTGTGGGGAATCATGACTGGAGCTTTAATCTGGTCACAGGAAAAACTTAAAATAGGACTTGGCCTTACCCCCACCACAGATCACAGCCGTGCTATGAAGGGTCTTTTGATTTAGCCATGGTCCTTGGGGAAGCCAACCTTCCTCTGCAGGAACTCATTGCCCACACATCCTGTGCTGTGCCTTCTCTCCATCACTGTATTCTTCAGTGTTACTTTTCCCAACAACTTTTATCAATGATTGATCCACTTTATACACCAGAGCAAGGCTGCCTTTCAAAAACTGGAAAACCCTCTGGAGTCTGAGGCAGCCCAGGTGTATTTTCTTCAGCTTCCATTAAAATATCAACACAAACATTTTTCCCATAGGACTCCTTGATGTTCTGCTTCTTGCTGAAACACACACTAAAGAAAAATCAGTTTGGCATCAAGGCTGAGTAAAAGCATCATGGCCAAATAGGCTGGGTTTGGGGTTTTTTTGTACATGACTAAAACCCAGAAAAATGAAAATAAAGTTATCTGAAATAGATAATTCCTACGAAAATAACAAATAGGCAATTTTCCCATGGGAAAGATTTTTCAATGTGGAATGGTCAGCCAGCACTAAGTATTGTTTGTCGTTAATTGCAAAAACTTTTGTAATGCATAAAATCTAAAAGTAGAAAAATGTTTTGTTTTATTATTGACCCAAAACATGCAAACTTTTTGATGGTCCTGGATAGAGTTACAGACCAGATGAGATTAATTATTCACTGGGGTTGTAAAGACTTTACTTAGTCTCATAGACAGTTTTGTGGAGGAAAAAAGAAAAAAAAAAAAAGAGAGAGAGAGAGAGGGAGAGTAGGGACAGTGAAGGCATTGGTTTAGAAGGGAAAAATCACTGACACAAGTTGGAAAATTATGAAAAAAAAGATAAAATTTAAATTGAAGAGTAAATAAACTCAAACCTAGAGAAAGTAAAATGAAGGGAAATAAAGAAGAGGAAAGAAATTGAACCATAGAGTTGATTTGTAGCTTTTCAATCTATCTAAAATCCGATCCATATTCAGAAACTCAGAACAGGGGTCCCAGGAATGGGGACATCTCCAGTCTCACCTGAAACTGCAGAAGGGCAGACTCACAAAAAGTAGAGCAAGGTCAACCTGGACCTGGAGCAAATGTTCCTTCTCCTTGGAGATCCTCCTGTTCACCCCCAGTGTTCTGATGAACTGGAAGAGCAGATGGTTAACAGCAGCAATAAACTGGTTCAGTGGAGCCCGGGCATGGCTCAGGAACCGAGGGACGGGGAAGGGGAGAGTGAAGCAAAGATTGCTTTCCATCAGAGAGTTCCTACATAAATCACAGATAAAACTATTTCTTTAACAGCTTACTCCCTGAGCCAGCTCATCTCGGAAGAGCATTAATCAGACCAAGAGGAAATGTCTCTTGCCACTGAAAAAGGAAAAGGATTAGGTTAAGTGATGACACAGCAGGGACAGACAAGTCACACTGGAGAAAATGACTGACCTAAACTATCATCCAAGTAAATACAGACCAAAATTATGAACTGATTTTTCTGTTTTGATGAATCTTGTTTTGTTGGTTTGGGTATTTTTTTTTGCAATAACATGCATATTTATCTTTTATCACAGTGAGATCTTTCTGTTCATTCGGGAAGCGAGTGGCATCAGAAATGTGATAGTGCCTCTTTTCCATCTCTCTTCCGTCATGTGCTGTTGCAGAGGAGCAGGATGAAGGGGCTGAGCTCTGTCCTTCTTTGGTCTTTCTGTTGGGTCCCTGTCCCCACGACAGTCATTCTGAAGCTGCAGATCCAGCAGGACCAGATAGAACCCCCAACTCCTTTCAGGCTGGAATTGTTTAGCCATCACACAGTAAACAATTTTGGCACTGTTGACTGAAGCTGGATCCAAATCAATCCTAAATCCTGTATTCTGCCATCATCTCCATCAGTCATTCCCTCCTATTCGATGGCAAAACCCAGAGAGGGGCCCATGACTCTGTACAATTGGGCTGTGGCCTTGGAGGTCAGACATCATTGCCAAGGCTGTTAAGACAGTCTTTATTCTCTCAGGATACTTCCCTTCACATTTCTGATGGGATTTGAATCAAACTCTTCCTATTCCCACAAGCAGCATCTTCTGTATTCGGGAGGGCAGGGGGCAGAGACCTTGGCATCGGTGCTCTTTGGCAGCATACACAGCGTGCTTTGATGGATTTATTTGCTGAATGCTGTGTTGGTATTTACCTGGGATATACCGCCCTCAGTCAGTTTTAACCCTGCACAGCACCAGCACAGAGGGTGGATGGTTCCACTCAAACCCTGGATGGACTGTGGCCACAGGAGTTTTCTCTCCATGTGCATTATCACACCTCTGGGCAGCTGTGGGGGTGAGGACTCAGCACTCAGTGTCCTAACAGTTTACATTCATCCGTAGCAACAGCTCCAGGTTCACACTTTTTTTTTTCTTTTTTTTCCCTTTTCTTTTTCTAGCAGCAACTTGGATGAAGAAAGACAGAAGTACACAGCAAAATTGTCTTTGGTGACCCCTCAGGCTGAGAACATGGCCCTGAAGCATCCCTTACTTAGACCTCATCCTGCCACTTGAGAGGTGGGACCAGCAGGATGCTCAAAGCACACGTGTAAAATCTCCTCACAAAACCACCCAAAACAAAAATGATGTCTCACCTTTCCTCCCTCCCCCTCCTTCACTTCTCTTACATAAAAAGAAAAGGCCATATAATCTGTTCTTTTCTTGTTTTAAAATCCTTTTCTATCAATATGCCTCACAAATGGATAAAGTTAATGCAACTTAAACAACTGAGTAGTCAAAATCAGAGTACAATCTGGTCATGGTAGTTTTTTCTCACTCTTTTATGCGACCAAAAAAAAAAAAAAGAAAGCTAAAGGCAAATTAGATTGTACAGATTAAAACACAATAATTTCCTTCAATCCTTACAATATTTTCAATCTAGACCCTCTGGAGACTGGCACATGCTAGAAAATCTGGATAAGTGTATGTAGTTTATAATGGTCACTTTTACTGCAGGGAATCCAAAATTCTGCAGGACAGTCTTTCTAAATAAGTAGGGCATGTAAACATTAGCATGAACCAGGATTTCTGTCTGTACCTCTCTATTTAGAGGAAATGAATGCCAGTTATTCACACAGCATATATTCACAGGTTTGCATTCATGAACTGACTGAGTTTGTACTCATGGTATTAATTAGCAGATTTTTCCCTTTTTAGGATAACATAGGTCAGGATTTCTCATGCTCAATAACATCTGAAGAAATTAGGCCCCAAAAATCTTATTGTTGGGAAAAGATCAAAGGAGTGACCTCTCTATGATTCTGAAATAAAATTTCTCAGCCTCTTCTGTCAGTGCAGTGTATGATAACTTTTCAGTGTATATCAGTGTGATAAAACCAATTACTTACTGGACATAATTTTATTACATTTAATGGACATGTCTTTAATTTGGCCTTTGAATCTCACAGATATTTTTCCAAGCAGTAAATACAGATACTCCTAAGCAACAAATATATCCAGTCAAACTCTCCTAGAAGTCACAAAAGAGCAGTGAACTTCACCAGCAGCTAGAAGAGGCTCTCTAAAGACCCGTGCCATTGCTGTAAAGACACGACTTCTGACACCCCAGAAGTTATTGTTAGTCAGGGATATTATTCTGTAATCTGTTTCTTAACCATTACAAAGGCATCATGGCAAGAAAAGGTTCCTGCTGCCTTCTTGTCCATGAGAAGCACCATTGTCTTCATAATTTGTCTGTTTGCAAGCTGAGGCCTTACACAGGGCATTTTTTACATTTTTTC